ATTACTACTATTACTTTACTTTGCCTCCTGCAACAGTTATTTTGTGATGGTGCCCTCTGCCCTGTATCATAATTCCAAAGGTGTCCACAAGCTCAAAAAGTTTAGGCACCCCTGGTCTAAACCAAGAACCTGCTGAGTAATCTTCAAAAGAGAAAATGCTATAACCCCAACAAGAAGGGGAGAGATTCTTCGCAAGACCAAACTGTCAGAGCGTAAATGTGTTCAATAAAAGGGATATTCAGTGTGCATTGCTTGAGACTGTATTAGGTAAAGGTAAAGGGTTCCCTTGCTTGAAAGCCAGTCGACTCCGACTCTAGGTGGCGGTGCTCATCTCCGTTTCCAAGCCGAAGAGCCAGTGCTGTACAAAGACTTTTCTGTGGTCATGTGGCTGGCATGACTAAACGCCAAAGCGCATGGAACGCTGTTACCTTCCCACCAAAGTGGTACCTGTTTATCTACTTGCAATTTCTTGCTTTCGAACAGCAAGGTTGGCAGGAGCTGGGTCCAGAGACAGGAGCTCACTCTGTCACGTGGCACTTGGGTCTCAAACTACAGACCTTCCAGTCTGCAGCTCAGCATCTTAACCTCTGAGCCACCGCGGTCCTGAGACTGTATTACCTAAGATGAAATTTCTCATGTGCAAATCACTTCTATGTAGCATGTTCAGTAAATCCTGCAAGTTTGGGGTTACGTTACGAACAGTAGTTCACAAATTCACTTGCCAAACCACTTGTGGCAACAATAAATCTAATTCTAGCTAATTCCCAAACTAGTGAGATGGTGGTCGAGTTGCTTCTTCCCTGTTCCTGTTCAGCAGACAGGAAAACAAGGACTTATGCAGCTAAATTTTATTCTTATTGGGCTGGGGTTTGACAGCCACAATGTGCACAGACACAACACATTTGGTAGTGATCATGTCCATCTCGTGGGACATGATTCTTGTATATTTCCTGTATTTCATTTCATTGTTTCTGAGGAAGTGCGTGTGCACACAAAAGCTCATACCTTGAATAAAACTTTGTTGTTCTTAAAGGCGCCACTGGACTCAAACTTTGTTCAACTGCTTCAGACCAACACAGCTACCCACTTGCATCTAACTTCCTATATCTGTTCAGGTGGCTTCAGCAGCTCTGTCTCTACTGATGGCACAAATACGTACCATGAGTAGAAAACAGAAGTTTAATATAATTGGGATGAAACAGAGAACAGAAATATTGGTAATGAAGATGAGAATGGGATAGAATGGGTGGGGTAGTGGTGGCTGCATATAATGGTTATCAAACAAGCTTAGACACTTTTTGTGGATCACTGCTGATGAACATGGCATGACATGGGAGATGTGTCAGCAAGCTGCCACCAAGTGTAATCTTCGATGGTAGGCATATGAACATTCATCACATGGTGAATTACTTGTCGGACTCATGCATTTTCCAACACAGAAAATGCTATCACACATAACATTTGTGTTGCCATGAGAATCTGTCCATTCTGCCTGTCTGGTCTTCCCAGAGGACTAGTAAATTGCTCTTAAAGTTGTAGGGAGCTTGAAACCCTACACAAGTAAAAATAGAGCCTGTAGCCTCATAACTGTTTCATCACTGAGTATGTTTACTTTGAGAATCATGAGCCAGCCTTTATTTCATATTTTGGCCATGAGTGGTACAGCACTAAAGGAATTAAGATGTGTGCCGGGTGGGGGTGGGGGCTTTTTATCTTATCATCAGCATGTCCTGGGCACTGATTCTCATCCCAGAAATGCTGTAACGTAATCTCAATTATGTGGACCTCTTGTTAAACATTTCTCCTAATATAGCTAAAAAACAGGTTCTGTGTATAATTCAGTGATGGATATAGCTTCCAAAAGTTACTGCAAATTGGCATAAATGTTAATATTTAAGACATAATGCCATGGATATTTTAATTTCTTGCTGTGATAGATCTGCAACGCTTCTAACAGCACTGTGTACTCAAACGGGTTTGAATACACACTTTTGGGCAGAAAAAAGGAAGCACTGAATGTATTGTGGACACCCACAAATTGTACTTACACAAATTCTTCAAATATTTTTAGGCTGCTCTCTATAATGCAATCTACATGGTACATTTAGCGACAAACAACAAAGCTTCTAAGGCAACATTTTCAAAGCAAAGCACCTCTTACACATGCAAAAAAGTGTGCACACATAGCAATGTTTGCACAATGAAAAACGATGTTCACAAACAGCTGCATACAACTGTTTTGGTACATTGCCTCTACTACTGCATTTTGGATTAGTGGAGTATAAATTTTCTGTTTACAGTTTAGGAATCCATTTTTTTAAATGTAATTGTCAATGATCTTCTTGCCAATTGCTAATTAATTTCAGGCATTTAAATTTTGTGATATCCTCCAGAACAGAGAATTTTGTTTAAAGAAACCTGCCCAGTGACGACTTCTTTTTTGTTTTTTTACCAATACAAAACCTGCCATCAGAAACAGATAGCAGCTTTGTGAGGTACAATACATACTGAACACACACACAAAAAAGGGGAACAAAGTTAGCAACCATATTTACATACCCAAAACATCTGGAAAGGGAGGGCATTAATGAAGCAAAGAATGGAAAAACCCAAGACAATCAGGTTCTTGTCCAAAGCATACAGAATGAGATAAGGTTACAACAAGAGCAGCTAGAAATGTAACATATATGGGAACAAACAAGAAAAAAAGTTGGGGTTCTTGAGACTGACAAAGAAATGAAGCAAAAGCCATAGTTTTGATTCAGCAACTTATACAGATGCCATGTACACATACAGACACATGTGTGGCTATTGAATCTTAATCATTTGTTCTGATTAAAGAATCTTTTCTTGAAGAAATACACATTCAAAAACTTTTCAAGAACTTTTCACTGTTTGAAGACCAATAAAGGTTTATTCAAGGTATGCGCTTTCATATGCATACACACTTCTTCAAATATTCTTCAAATACTCTTCAAGTATTATTCAAATACCTTGAATAAGCTTCTGTTGGTCTTAAAGGTGCCACTGGAGTCTAAATTTGTTCTACTGCTTCAGACCAACACGGCTGACCACCTGGAACTATTTTCAGTCTTTGGTATATTTGATCCAAGATATTACACCTATGGAATGGGGTTCCTAGTCTATTCAGCACCAAGGGCTGCCATCGATAGATCATGAACAGAGTAACAATAGCTGGCCTACATTAATATAATTGGCATATTTCACAAACCTAGGATGTACTTGTACAGCATATTATATCCAGAAATGTTTATCTGAACAGTATCCTTGATAATGGGTATCATGAAGTGAACTGTTCTTTTTTAAGTCTAAGAATTTCCATTTTACTTGGGTGAAAAATGACTTCATTTTTTGTTTAGGTAAACTGCAATTTTTAGAAGGTGTCTTTTTGTGTGTATAACATGTAAGATGAAATATTAAAGCCAAATCTAAGCTTACTTCAGGTATACCCAAGGCCTTGAGCAGGCCCAGTGGAAGATAAACCACTGATTAATGACAAGCAAGAGAAACAGCAATTGTCTGCCCTATTTGAAAGGCAGAGTTCAGAATGCCAAAGACCTAATAAAATGATCACAATAGAACAAAAATGAACAAAGCTTTTCGTAACAAAGACTGGCAATAATGGCAGATTTATACAGTGTTCTGCTTATTTATGCACATAAACAGCTATAGTGTTTTTGGAGTAAAATTGGCTGCAGTGCAGACGCCAAAGTGATGTCTACCAGATTCATATCTACACCTTTTTGTTGTTGTTGTTGCATGAATGTAAGAGAGAGACTTAATTTCATTCATATCTACACCTTTTTGTTGTTGTTGTTGCATGAATGTAAGAGAGAGACTTAATTTCATTCAGCTCCTCTGAGTAGTTAATTGCCAAGTTTTAAAATTTGGGGAGTTTAAAAACTAGCTGCAAGTGTGGGAAGGCCTGATGGAGAGTTAACAAAGCTATATCAACAATGTACTAAAACTTACTTTTCCGCTTAATTTATTTTCTGAATAAATTCATTTTAACCATGATAACATATTTCAATCTCTCAAACAAGAATTTACCATAGTCTGAGTTGCAAGAATTGTAATGTAATCATTATATTTGATAGCGTTCTTTGTGTTCCTGGTTTAATTACACGTGCTTACTATGACTCCTTTAATCAAAACCAGATTGAAATAATGTGAAATACATGTATCAAAATTATTTTTCCAGTTTATGCTGGATGATCAAAGCATTGCTAAGAACAAATAAAAGGCATGTCAACAAGGAAGCATAATGTATTTAGCATTAATCAGGGTGCTCTCATATTGAGTTCAAAGAAAAGACTGTCCAGAGTTGCTGCCAATTCTGCCAAATGGTGTTTGGTAAAAAATAATACACACAAACAAACTTACAGGTATATAAATATGAAAGCAAATCTATGTTTAATAAAACTAGTTCAAGCGCATTCTCAAACTTCACAAGATAATCAAGCTCTTCTAATCTATTCTTAAAAAAGCATTTTCTCCTTTCTATAGGAATACAAGGTTTCTCAGATGCACATCAAAAGAAAGTCAAATATTTATATCAGATTACTATTGTGACAACTTTTATAATACTAGATACATTTTCTTTTTAACTTCTATGCTTTTTTAAATGGCCCATTACTCAGCTATAGAAGTTATCTCACCAATGCTTATTTGACGAATAATGTTGAGCAATTTATTTTGAAACACGAAATTAATTTTAGATACATTAGCAAAGCAGTTAATATATTTTCTCAGTGAGATCTAGGAATGCATTAACATTTATTTCAAAAGGAACTGTGACAGTGGCTAATATTCTTCAATTATCTGGCTCATAAACTACCCAGTGCTAAGAACTCATGTCCTTGGACCATATGTGGCATTTTCACAGAATCCCATTTTATTAGAAAGCAAACATTCAGTTGTGAGATTTTGGAGCACTACAGTTAGTCACAATTTGTAATCTTATCACTTCATACACTCACCTAAACTTGACCTTGTATTAGATCGTTCTATTATCGCATGCTTGCTGGGATTGTTTAATACTGAGCGTTTGGCAAGCGAGATGTCAGCTGTGACCCGTGTGATTGATATACTGAACATAAAAAGAGGAATAATATTGTTATTCATTGTTCAGAAATCTGAGGGACCAAAATACTGCATGAATAGCAAAGACAAGGGCAAATAAACCTATGACTAAATACATTTCATATTTCACACCATAAATGCTGGTATTTTTAAAGATTTTTTTAATAAAAACAATTATTCCGTTAAAAAGTTGGATACAAAGCTTTACAAGTTCATTTTCAGTTTTATAAACAAATCATACAGATATTATTAGGGTCAATTCTTTTTACCATACAACAGACAGGTTAGTTTACCCAACTGTACACATTCCTTTAGTTTCTCCAACTACTCCTCTACATACTTCAACAGAAAAGCTTCAGTTGAGGAAAGGGGATTTTATTTTCCTTAGATAGTTGGGTGAGTTCCGTCATAGTTCTCATTTGGAATGAGCTGGGGGGGGGGCGATAATTTATTTTTTACAAACCCAAGTATAAGTTTGCTGCAGCGATTGTGAAAATGTGAAGTAGTCAATTTTTAAAGTACTGTACATGTAAGACTTTGGGATCATACCTGTAGAAATGTAGGCAAGTATGAAGGCCTTTATTCCAATCTGTTCTTTAAAAGTGGAGATATTTAGCTTGGGAAGCACATACTAAGGAAGGACATGTAGCAGTTTGCATATATTTAAAATACTATGTTCTCTGTGTTGCAGAGAAGTGTCAGCTACACTGCCACTGTATGTGGTGGGGGCGGGGAAGGAGGCCGCTGGGTGAGCATCTTCATGTTCTGGAATGTTAACTTTCACTTCTTCTGCTGTGTCTTATCTGTTAGCCTGACCTTGTACTTCGCTCTTCGCTCTGCCTGGGAACCTGCTCCTGCTACTTTTGGCATGCCTGCACCTCTGATTGGCTTAGCTCCATCAGGGGCCCCACTTTGAACGCAGTATATCTTCCCCTCTCCTGCCAGTTGGGTTCACTCTAACACAGAATGTATGCACAGATGACCTGCCTTTACTGTCTTCAATAAACTTGATCCTTCTGAAGGAACATTGTTGAGACTGATTGCTGTGGGACTCTGACAAGAAGGGTGTTAAGATTCAGCTGTATTTTTTCTCCTATTGCTATTCAACCATCTTCACCCAGGCACAGGATTTAGCAGGTCTATTTCAGTATACGGTGCACTGAAAGTTTCAGCATTAAGATTTTATCTATGCTTATTTTGGTTTCTTGAGTCAGAGTTCATTATTTGGCACTGTCCCATCTTTAAACTTTCTGGCTATCCATATTTAGTCAGAGGTCACATTCTTCCAGAGCATTATAAAACTGATCACAGTTCTTTTCACTTGTTCCTTGAATTTTTTTGTTGATGCTGTTGCTGAGATTATGTTTTTGCAAGAACTGTAAACTAAACCATATTTAATTCATTTTATTTGAAAACACAACCTATAAGTACCATTACAAATTTTATCGTTTGTTTAGCAAAATGCTAATTGAAGCATTAATGGGTGAAGCACTAGACCTGTTCTATGGCTCATAAGAAAAATACTGTCAATAACATCCTTAGCCAAGATTTGTAAAGGAAGTGCAAAGGACTTCAGTTTAGATATTTATATTTGACTTACAAAATATTTTATATGATTCTGGATCCTTAAGTACTTACCGCCCTTCAAATCTGTGTTTTAAAAAATCAAATAATGCTTTTTGCATCATATCTGTCACCTAAAAGCAAAAGCAACAGATCACTGAAACAATATCATTGAAATATCACTGAAACAACAGATCATTGGAATTTTTATTTATTTATTTTAATTTATTATCAAATTTATACCCTGCCCTCCCAGCCAAGGCCGGCTCAAGGATGCACTAGGCAGGGGAAACTATATTATTGACATGCAGTATCTTGTTTTTCAGTTAGTCCAAACAGAAACTAGAGAAGACAAAGAATTATTTCAAAAATTATCTAATTTTTCCTTCTCCATAACTTTTATTATATTCATTTTGATGCTGCTAGTGCGACACATTATTTCTCTTTAACACTAACAATGCAGTCCTAAACAGAGTTATAACCTTTTGAGTTCTTGAAGTCAATGGGGCTTAGAAAGGTGCAACTTGGCTTAGTGTTGCACTGTAAAAAACAACAACAACAACAACAGACAGAAGCTACACTGTTTTGAGCAAAATGTTCATTCTTACCTCATATCCTTTTAAGGAAGGCCCCACTAAAACTACTGGCCGCATTGAAGGCACTACATCATACGGAGGGATGTGCTCTGTCTGATAAAAAGAGAAAGCACTCAGTGTTCTGTTCATAATAAAAGCTACTTCTTTGTTTATTTTATGTAATGGAATATCCAGAGGTGTCACCAAGTTGGAAATCTAAGACATGTTGATGTCCCACTCCAGGCCACTCCCCACAAATCTGAAAGTACCTCACAATATTAGTGATTCTTGGGAGAATATGCTATACATTTCTTCACTAAGTCCTCATTGGCATAGTCTACTATTCAGTTTAAGCAAAATTCTTATCACTATTCTATCACAAACTATCATCAGCAGAGCCAGAATTTCATTCTGATATAGTTGTATGATGACCCCCATGCTTTCAGAGTGGCCAATGTACTGTATCTGCAGAATTCTATTGTAATTGGGCTGTTATCTAGAAAAGAAAGCCATTTCAGTCAAACCAGTTCTGAAATCTAATAATAAGTAGATAGGGAGAAGAGAGATTAACAGTGCCATCTTAAATAGAGTTTCCAAGTCCACTGAAATCAATGAGCCTAGAAGAGTATATCTCTGCTTAGGATGGCACTGAAAGGCAAACAAACAGGAAAAATTCTTTCCCCTTCAATGTAAATCTCCAATTTACTAAACCATAATTATATCCTATTGTGAATTCTCATTGCTCATTAGAGAGTTTTTCACTCACATTATATTTTAAATTTTTCATTTCAGGGCTACTGGTGTATGAATTCACAATGATGATTATGGTAGCAATTCAAAAATGATCTATACACCCAGTACAGCAATTCTTCCTCTTGAGAAGACTTTTACCAATCTTGAAGCATTGCATGGTAGTATGTACCATTTAATACATTACTTACTCAATGTATCATGCAAAGTTATGAAGGAATTATTGATCATTAAACGTGTAAAATATCTCAAACAATTAAATGCTAATATGGCAAAAATCTTTTTTAAAAGCTCACTATGAGCATTAAAAGTAGCTTTAAAAAACTCATAGTTTTGTTTGTATGTTCGTTTGCAGAGCACAAATGTTTCAAATTCAAAACCACCAACCTGTAAAAAGCTTAAAAGTAGGTATGCCAGATCTACTTTTCAAGGGCCTACATAGTGTAAATACACCAGTGAGCATCATGGAAAGTTGCCATTGTTCATTATTTCAGAACTGAACATGTCTCAGGTGTAACCACAATCAAAGCAATAAGGTAGAATACAAACATAAGAAAACAAAGACAAACGTTAATACAGCAACAGCACACAAAGCCACACAAGCAGCTTTCTAAAGCAGTCTAAAACATGAAACACACATTTGTGTTAAGGATGTTCTTGTTTTGTTTGGTTCTACATAAATCACCACATCATTGATACAGAAGAAAAGTGCCCAAGGCATCAAAAGCATGTGAATTACTTGCACGGGGCTGGATCTTACTTAATGTTTAGAGGGAAAGCCTATAATTTTCTAGCGCTAATTATGATGATACACTCTTACAATTATTATGATGATTAATATAAATAATAGGATTATGTATTATTATAGCAGCCCATAAAACCTCAGCTATAACCCTCCTTTATCTAGCAGATCAATGCCCCACAGTAATATTTCTCTGTTTTATGGTGGCTATCTACAAAATAGCATTTGCTCTAATTATAACCCTTAAAAGTTAGGGTAGGTACAGAAATTACCTTATTTGATGGAATACTCTCACTTGTTAAAAATCAATTGTGTGCCAACCAGCAGCTTCTCTCAGCTCTAATTTACTGTGCTGTCAGTGGCAATATGTAGTGGGAATGAAACAAATCTTCATCTCTAAATTCATTACTACAAATTACTTCTAAATAGCTTGTAAGGGATATTTTTGCTATCTGAAGGCTAAGCTTTGACTGTAACAGTGAGTTAATTAGAATGTCTATCCAGATGATAGTGAGCACAGATTGACATGAAAGGGATCACTACTACATCTGTGGAATTTTGCAGAGAATTAGGGAATTCCGTCTTGCAAAAGTATAATAAAAAGCAGCAATAATTACTTTGCCCTGTTCCTAAAAACTTAGCCCAGTGGAAACAAAGAACAGACTAGTATTTAAAAGAACATATAATTGTCACAGAAACAATGGATTTTTTTTTTTAAAAAAAACATTCTACGTAATAATGAGTTAATTGCATTTTATTTACTGACATTCTGTAAAGGTCTGGGCAAAGTAATTGTGGCATCTATAATGGAAGGTAAATGAGGCAAGCAAGGGAATTTTTTTAATGCATAGAAGAATCAAACAGGGTTTGAAAAAGGTTGGACTCATGAAGAAATGGAATTTCTTATATAGCCAAGTTTAGCTGGGCTTGGCAAACTATGGTCCATGGAAGCCCATGGAAATTTACATGTTCCGTATGCAGGTGTGCTTCTAAATTAAAAAAAAGTAATTTGAGGATGTTCTTGTAAAAAACTAAAAATCTAAACTGCTAGCATCACTCTCCAGTTGCTTAGTAATTGGCTACTAGATAACAAATTCCAAGGATTTAGTTTCTTGTAGTCCCCAGATAAGGGATGAAAACAGCATGACTATATACAATATTCATTACCCTACCTATGGGTAACTCTGCCTGTAAAGGGAACCACTAGTTCTGTTCTCTAATAGGCAAGATGCTACAGTCTGACTGATGGAGGAGAAGGCAAGAACAATGGGAAAGAATTTATATATGACAATAGGAAAAACTCACAGTAGACCGCCAAAACAAGTCTGCAGTTTTCCACTGGTCTTGCTCATCTGCAGATTTTGCACCTAGTGGATTAGAAGTTTACATACTGACTAAATTAAAAACTGAAGGTTCTTTTTAAAGAACAAGATGAGTATCTGTTTAGATTTAACAAAAATGAATTGTAAGAGTGAATTACAAGTCAAAAATCTGGAGGAAAAAAAAGACAAAGAGTAAGCATGCACTAAAGAGGTGCATTATCAGGTCAAAGTTTCGCTTCTGCGGATGTTTAAAGAAATTCCCTTGGCAGCCTATTATTCCATCAAAAAGGAAAAGTACCATAAGCATTGTCTGACTGAGTCACTCAAGGGGCTTATTCTGCTTGTTTTTTACTGCACTGAATCAGCTAGCGGTTTGATAGGTTTCTTCCCTTGCTCTAAAATGATTGTGCTGTATAAGCTGTAGGTGATGATGCTAATGATGCCAGTGGCAGAATAAACATAGCTCGTGTCAATGCAGACTTACCGATTTCTGCTTCTGCTTAGCTACAGCAGCATGGAAAAGAAACAAAGAATAACAAGAGCATGCATGTTATTGGCTTGTCAAAGGACGCAGACAGTCAACAGGACTAGAATGTGACGCAGTGCTAGTGAGCAGGTGTACAGACGGCAGCTTGGAAGTCGGTGTTACCTTCTTAAAGAAGGGCATTCTTTTCTCTTTGGAGTGGGGTGATGTTACACTGTTTGCACTGGGTTTGGGGGAGCGATGGTTTGCTGGAATATCAATTTCTTCTGCATCTAAGCCACTGGCATCTATGTCTATAGCTATATGTAGATAAACAATGTAAAATTATCAGATGGCAGGGAGATGAGAAAAAGGTAAAGAGAAACAAACATAAAGCAATAATATCCCAAGGCGGACCTCCATCAGGAATATCAAACAGAATCAAAAAGAAAAAAGGGGAAATTTTAAAGGTATAATACACCAGGGTTATGAAATCATCACATGAAATTATATGAAATTTTAACAAATCTATGTTGTTTTTATTCAGCCGTGTTTCCCCCCAACTGCATAGAAACTCATAAATACAAATGTATTCTTGGTTATACTGGGTGTATAGACTTTGAGTTTTCAAATCTGCTGGGCAGATGGAAACAGGTAGGCAACATACCAAAAAATCTACATACAGAAAGTTAAATAGCAGAACAAGTAAGTCAGGCTTCAGGAAACTCCCAAATCCAAGCAGCCCAGATTAATTAATGCTGAATAAGTGTGTGTATTTTCACCAATATAAACCTGTTTATCCTATGTCATGGATCCCCAACTTTTTTGAGTCTGTGGGCACCTTTAGAGTTTTGAGAGGAGGGAGGCATGTGCCATTACAAAATGGCTGTCATGGGAGTGGAGCCAAACCCCAAATGGCTGCTGTAAGAGGCAGAGCCAAATACAATATCTCCCTTCCAACTCTGCAAAATAATCTTTGTTGTTGTTCAGTCACACAGTCGAGTCCGACTCTTCGCGACCCCAAAATAATTGCAGAAGGGGAATTTTAAAAAATGAAGGAAAGGACAGGGGGAGGGGAAGAAAGAGAAAGAAGAACAGGGATAGGAGGAATAAAAAGGAAGAAATCCTGAAAAGGGGGCGGTTGAATCACAAAGGGAAATGGAACCAGTCCTCCTGATTCTCCAGTGGTGGTTGCTATTGCAGCCATGAAAGCTCCTTTCATTTAATGGGGGGTAGCCAGTAACAATCCCTTACAGTGCCCCCCCACACTTTCTGAAATGCTCAGCAAGAACCAGGGGAAGTACTGGTAGGTACGAAGGCACCTATGAGTTCCACGTTGGGGAACCCTGGCCTATATAGCATATAGTAATATTTTAGAACCTGTAACTATGTAATTGAGCCATACTACCAGCACTGGAAGTTTGGTACAGAAATCAAAGGGGATTTAATTTTTGGGTCAGGATTAGAACAAAAAGTTCTATTCTTTTTGGGTCTCCTTGGGAAAAAGAAATGCAAGAATGACTATTTAAGGAGTGATTTTATAAGTCAACATAACCTATGGACTTTAAAATACCACACAAAGAAGGTGATAAATGCAATAGGTATGTGAGTGAAATATACAAGAATTCATTTTGTTTTACAAAGTTGGGAGTTCTGAAATTATTTTAAATAGACTGAATTATTTTCCATAGTGTTTTCTTTGTAGCATATTCTATCAAATATCTGCTACACATTAGAAGTACTAAACTAGCGCTTTCCTACCTATGATCTCAACAATTCATGCAACTGTTCAGAGCACAGTTGTGCCACCATCATAAAGTATTTCTGAATGAATACAAGATTAATACACAGAGAATGAATAGTGGTATATGTTCATATTCACTTGTAATATTTTGCACCCTATGGCACATGCTTTAGCTATTCAAATTTTAAGTAATGTTTAGCTCTTCAGAAATGTTGGCTACTGTCCTAGACAATCACATGTGCAGAAAGATATGTTTTGAAATAAGTGTTTTACTGCTGTCAGTCATGCAGTTGGAACCAGCAAGCAGTTTTAAAGAAATAAACAAGCTTTTTTTTTCCCCTGAGTGACCAACTGCAGCAGAGCTATAGCTACGGTAGGGCCAGTTGGTGAACTGGTTCATTCTACCTATATACTTTTCTTTTTTACTTAAAAAAGGACAATTTATGGCATTGAAAGCCTCCATTTAAAAACATGAGTTTATTTTCTGAAAGGAAGGCAGCCCTGAATGTAAGATGACCCCCCTTAAAATGTTTACATAAACAAAATTATTATTACTGGACATAACAGTAACTTCTATGCAAATATAAGACAGCCTCCTTTTTTTTTATGGCACACTTGGTGAAAACCTAGTCTTGCTTTTGATTAAAGACCGTTTTTAGTCATGGCTGTTGTGCCAAAGAAATGGCAGTGCTCCAAACTCTTCCCACTCGACTCATGCAGCTTTGCTCATTCAAGACTCTACTTGACTCAGGATAGATTTTCAAGATCATTATTGCTATTACCAGGCTTAAGTTATTATTGGGTGGGGACAACTTTAGCTGTTATGTCTTTATGTCTTTCAGCATGGCAGCTTGCTTAAAGCAGGAAAGGCCATTTCCTGGGTATTCCCAAGTTACTTGGGAGATAGACATTCCCAGCAATGATATCTGTGCTACCATCTTGCCACATTGTTAGTGAAAGCTTGACATCTCAAAGTGGAAGAACTCTTCTACCACTGAATGTGCCATAAATAGGACTAGGATGAAGAGGGAGAAGGACTGCAGAAAAGAAAGGAAGGAGCCAGATGCTATCTATAGGCTGGCCACCATTTCCCATCATCAACTTTAAGGGCAGACTAATTTTCCTAAGCTCATTCAAGAGCCATAATGATCACTGTTAAATTCAAATTTTGGGAACAGGTTTTGTAAATATACATAAGAAATCTGGTTTGATCCTAGCTCACAATGTGTGTCTAATGTTCTGAAATAATTGTATAACAAATTCACCAAGCTCAAAACGTCCTGTTCCAATCTCCTTACTCCCCATAATGGTTGGCCGATGCCATCATAAAATATATAATTCTGACCTCTTTGATTTAATTTATATATGAATATCCTGAATTTACTGTTTATTTAAAATATCATTAATCTTTTATATCTGTAGCTCAACAGGATCATTGTTCCTTACACTCTTTACAAAGAAAGCATATCAACAAACTAAAAAATTATCCTTAATTGCTAAACATTCACATATTTCTAAAGAACTCTGATATGCACATGCAGTTCGTTAATAAGTGCAACTGAAAAGGCTTGAATATTAGATTTAATCAAATTTATAGAATTAGACAAGCTTACAAATAATTGAGGCATCATGGTGTAAAATAATAATAGTGCTAGGAACTTTCTCCATCTATTTTAAACAAAATTCTGGATATATTGTAATTATAAATTCTTTGAGAAGCCATTAAGTTCCCTTTCACTGACAATGAATTTTGCAGTAATTTTAACCTCTGACTCAAAAAGAATAACTCAGAAGAGAGAACAAAGTTTGAGTCCAGTGGCACCTTTAAGACCAAAAAGTTTTATTCAAGGTATAGGCTTTCGTGTGCATGCACATTTCTTCAGAAGTGAGAGAGCACAGAATATTTCAACAAAATGTGGCAAAAGGTAAACCATTCAACAAAAACATGGAGGGTAGCAGGCTTAATTAATTTAATATTTCAATTTCTGGTGTCTTAAATGAAATATATCCAGACATGTTAGTTACACAACAGTTTAATATGCTATCAACCTCTCCCCTGTTGTCTTAAAGACAGGCCACAGCTTTTCAGCACGATCCACTTAAGAGCTATCACTAGGGTTGCCAAGTGGCACTTACCCTGCCGGCGGGGGACTCCTGTTTGGCTGCAAGCGTGTGTGTGCGCGCGCACTGCATGCACGTCACAGGGAAGTGACGTCATGACACTGGGCACGCTGGGGCCGGGTTAACCATACAAGGGAAAACCATAGAGTTTTCCCTTGTATGGCCGTGGCCCCGCCCCCAGTGTGCCCGGCGTCATAACGTCACTTCCCTGTGACGTGCACGCTGGGGCAGGGTTCCCCCTGGGGCCCAGTTCCCCGGCGTCGGGGAACGGGCCTCTGGGGTGGGGGGATTTGGCAGCCCTAGCTATCACTGGCATGGATACGGCATGGTTACGGCCTTTCACAGCTCAGGAAGCATATATCTAAAAGTCTCCTTCCCAAGTTTCTATATACCAAGCATGGCCCTCAGGCTGCCATCTGCTAGGTGTTTCTCTGCTTAGGATATCAACCAGAGCCCATACTGTTTTCATTGCCCCTCCACATGCAACCAGAAAGTGAGGGAGACACACCATTTCTAGAGGTGCTTAGGAAGAGTGGTAAGGCCATTTTATGTGATAGAACTTTTATTGGGATGTAGGCTGTAGGCTTTTTAAAGAAGGGCATTATTTGTGGTTTTATTGTATTTTGCACATTTTAAAATTGAATTTGCAAGCCAACTTTGGCCATAGGAAAAGGCAGGGTACAGATATTCAAATAAATAATGCTTCGACTACTAATCAGGGCTAGTCCCTGTTTTCTGAAACTAGTAGTTGTACAATAACTGTCCCTGTTCTATTTTTGCTGTTGTCCTTTAGGATTCCCTACATAAAATGTTGTGTGAGTTGCTAAAGTTGTCACTTTCAAGGGTGTTCATCAGCCCCTCCTTCAGTCTCAAAATGTTGAACCTGAGCATGGTGCAAGTTAGGGTTGCCAACCTTCAGGTGGCGGCTGGAGATCTCTTGCTATTACAACTAATCTCCAGGTGACAGTGATCAGTTCACCTGGAGAAATTACTTTCTTGGAAGGTGAACTCTATGGCATTGTAACCCACTGAGGTCCCTCCCCTCCCCAAACCGCACTCTCCTGTGGCTCCACCCCCCAAATCCCCAGGTATTTCCCAACCCAGAGCTGGCAACCCTAGTGCAAGTGCATCTTGTATCTAGTGCATATGCATGTAAATGCATACACATGAACAATAAAACCCCACATAATCACAGCCTGTCATTATAAATGTTATGAAGTTTATTTTGAATTGCTAATGACACACCGGAACACTATTAAGTTTTTTTAGTACATCTTTCAACTAAACTGGCTTTTAAGAATTAGGCATGGTGGCACATTCAGTACATAGCAGATGGAGTAGAGCCTTTAGCAATGTGTAATTCAGGCATTGAGCAGTGATCATTTGTATGAAAATAGTGGTATTAAAAGCATGTCTCTATTTTTATCAAAGAAACTTTGCTGGATATAAAACAATGCAGAGTTATGCCCACTTCCAATGAATTGTGGCTGCAGACTGACCAGAGGCTGCTTTGCGGCTGCAGGGCTAGGTGCTAAGGTGAAAAGGGAATGCACATTGCTTGCCGCAGCGTCTGGGGCTGGGCTCTGCCACAGCACTTATGGGTCTTCCTGGGCATGGCCTGGAAGCCTTCCCAATCGCTGGCCAATTGCTGTCTGCCTGGGGAATGCTTCCTGAAGGGCGGGGCATAGGAGCAGACCACAGAAGTGTGGGCTTCGTTCTGGTCCGTTCCTCTCCTTTTTAAAACCCTGCTGCCCAAGCCCTACTTGTTTAATTTTCTTTGCAAACCTGCCAGATCTGGAACCCGAACCTTTTAATTAATTGTTTATAAGAGGGGGAGAAAAACACAGTGATTGTCTCCTCAATGAAAGGCTTTGTTACTGAAAACGGTAGCATAAAGGAAGACACTGATTTTTAAAAAACAGCAATGACCCACTTACCAGATGACGGAGGTGTTGACTTTCTGGAACTAGGTACTACGTCACCCAAACTAGATGATGAATTTCCTCCTGATTTACTAGAGTAAATAAATATAGTTTAACTGTTTTTAATAATATATTTACTTGCCATTCATCCTAATAGACAAGCAGAGAAATTTTCTTGACCAAATGCAGATGTTAGTATTTTCCAGAAACCATATGAAAAATTAAGAAACAATTATACAGGATTGGTTGTTGTAGATTTTCCGGGCTGTATGGCTGTGGTCTTGGCATTGTAGGACCTGACATTTTACCAGCAGCTGTGATTGGCATCCTCAAAGGTGTAACACAGAAAGATGGAGTACTCTCTGTGTCAAAGTGAGAAGAAAATTGGTAGGCAGGTAATTTATATCTACTCAGGAAGGTGGGGTTGGGCTGAGTCATTATCTTGTAGGAGTTTCCCAGGCTGTGACATGCTAATGGAGGAGCTTTCCTGAGGAGGTTCTTTTGCATATGGATTGGCTGCTGAAATTCTAATCTTATCTGTAGTGGTACTGTAAGATGTAGAGCATTTTGTGTTTTTCAGGACAGGAAACCATGCCCTATTTATTTTTAAGCTCTCTTCTTTCCTGTTTAAATTGTGTTTATGTTTATAAATTTCAATGGCTTCCCTGTGTAATCTAATGAAAAAAAGAAAAAAGAACTGTGACAATTTAGTGCTTGGTAATATATTCATAAATTATAATATACAATAACAGAAAATAAGTAATATATATAGTGAATGTAGACGGTGGTCTCCGGAATGGTGTGCCATTTCGACAATGATCTTCTTCTGAACAAGGATGTGTACATAAACTGTCTTTCAACAATTCATTTCTCTTGGTGACGTATTGAAAATATACTGTTGATTAACTTCATCATAAAGTTATGCTTACAGCTATGTTCTTCAATGGGCTATAAATGTAACTATTCCCTGTGTAATCTGACATGGTAATTGGATGTGTTGTCCAGCCTTTCAGTGTCTTGGAATAAGATACTGTGTCGTTTGAGTAAGGCTATGTTCAGCCACTGCTGTATTTTCTGGTTGGCCTTTCATGTTCTTTTATTCTTGTCTGAATGCTATGTGTGGTCTCAATGTAACGCTGTGTGGTCTCAATGTAAACCTGTCCACAACTGCATGGTATGCGGTATACTCCTACAGAAGTGAGGGGGTCTCTTCTGTCTTTTGCCAATCGTAGCACCTGTTGTATTTTTCTGGTGGGTCTGAATACTGTATGTAGGTTGTGTTTTTTCATAAGTTTTCCCATCTGATCAATGATTCCTTTGATATATGGCAAAAACACTTTTCCTGTGGGAGACTGTTTTTCCTCAGTTGTTTGTTTTACCTTTGGTTTAATTGGTCTTCTGATTTCATTCTTGGAGTAGCCATTTGCTTGAAGTGAGTGGTTTAGATGATTTAGTTCATCGTTGAGAAAGTGTAGTTCACATATCCAACTTGCGTGGTCTACTGTTTTGATTATGCCTCTTTTTTGCTGAGGGTGGTGATTGGAGTTTTTGTGTAAATAACAATCCGTGTGAGTTAGTTTTCTGTAGACCTTGTGACCTAATTGAAGGTTAGCATTGCGGATTACCATGATATCTAGAAATGGGAGTTTACCCTCGATTTCTTTTTCCATGGTGAATTGTATGTTCAGGTGGAAGTTGTTGAGGTGGTCTAAAAACTCCATCAATTCTACTTCTCCATGGCTCCTCTATTAGCATGTCACAGCCTGGGGAACTCCTACAAGATAATAACTCAGCCCTACCCCACCTTCCTGAGTAGATATAAATTGCCTGCCTTTAGAATCTTCCAGTAAAGAGCTTTAGGAAAGATCTAGCGCTCCTGCCTGCTTGCTTTGGGATGATGGTTTTGTCTCTGAGAGAAATAGTCAAAGCCTTTCCATTCAGCACCTCTTCAAATGCTGGGAGAAAAAAGGAATGTACCTTTTAGTGACAAATGGCTGCTGTGGGAAAGGTGGCCAGGTTGCATTATTGCATTCCAAGAACATCAGTAGTTCTCCAAGTTATGTAAGTCATATGATTTTCTTCTTCATAGTCTCTGATTCATTTACAAATGGGAGAGTGGCAAATTGACATACTTTGTGGAGGAGTTGGTGAACTGAGAGGCGGAGAATGGGGATGATTGCTCTATTTGTATCATGAGTTAGCATATACATGAAGTGCATAATTCTTTATAAAAGTCAATAAAGTAGACCATGCTGTAGTTTTACTCTATTCAATTATCAAAATTCACCTAAAGAAGATAGAGGAAAACAACATAATAAGAACATAAGAGACGCCAATGTTGGATCAGGCCAAAGGCCCATCCAGTCCAACACTCTGTCACATAGTGGCCAAAAATACCAGGTGCCATCAGGAGGTCCACCAGTGGACATACTTTCAGTAGGGTAACTCTCACCCTAGTTTTTCAGCTAGTTTGTAACACAGAGTTATGCTAACAACGTGATAATATAAAAGTATCGAAGGGGCCCATAGTATACAAACATATGAAGCTGCCCATATCCTCTGCCCCAGAAGGTCGGACCGGAACCAAGGGGTTGAAATTAAATCAAAAGAGTTTTCAGCTAAACATTAGGAAGAACTTCCTGACAGTCAGAACGGTTCCTCAATGGAACGGGCTGCCTCGGGAGGTGGTGTGCTTGCCTTCTTTGGAGGTTTTCAAACAGAGGCTAGATAGCCATCTGACAGCAATGCTGATTCTGTGAAGTTAGGCAGATGATGAGAGAGAGGGCAGGAAGGGTTGCATCAGTACTCAGTTCTTGTGGCCCTTTCTTACATGCCCAGGGTGTGGCATATGCTAATAAGATATTATGCTAATAGCCTATTAGATATGCTAATGAGCTCCTGCATCTCTTTTTCTACAAAATGACCCCTGAGAACTACTATTATTTTGTGATTTTTACTGGTTCAAACAGAATTTTTCTTACAGAAGTGGCATGGAAGGGTCTAAAATTAAGGAAAAATATAAGCACATCAAAAGGCCCTGTTCAGACAATACTTTGCACTCAAGATCATACTAAAAAGAGACCAGGAAACATGGTCTTGTATACTCCATCACCTCTAATCTCTGAACAATAGGGCACACAGGCCAGGAAAATCCCATGTTTTTCTTGACATGTACCCAGGATCCCACACAAGACAGGAAAGGAAACATGCAAGACCAAAGCCTATGTCCCTTCCCCCTCATGGAATACAACCAGGCAAAATACTGTCTGAATAGGTTTAAGGGCTCTTTTAAGATAAACCTTCAAGTAAAGCCAAAGAGATCAGAAAATACTACTACTTTTACAAGTATTAATGATATTCTTATAATTTGGGGAAAAGCTAAATGTTACTAAAACAGTATTGTGACATGAATGTCAAAACTATCAGTATAATTCTTATGAGACTGTAACCAACAATATTAATCAGGAATATTTTTAAGAAAGAAAGAAAGAAACTATAGTTTTTGTTTAGAATACAATTTTCATTTCCCCCCAATAGCGAAATCATGCTATTCAAAATATTTACTTGCAACAAATATTTTAATCCAACTCTTTTCATCACTGATCCTTACAGTAAGGCAAATACATACAAGATATACAAAATACTGTGGTAAATATATAAATTATAAATATTTTTAATTACCTGGAGTAAAATTTTCCTTGCTTAGCCTTTTGTTCATGCTGCAGTCTCATGTTTTCTAATTTGACTGGACTTGGTATGAAACCTATTTCACAGCCTTCTTTCACCAACCGTCCTATCCACCAGTCATTGTTAAATTTCTAAAGAAACAGGTCACATATTTAAATATTAGAAGCAGCTCATGGCAAAGGATTTTTAATCCATTCTTCTGTATCACAGTTGCAATGCTAGTCTTATAAATAATTGTAAGTAAGGTATTTATATGGTGTTAGGTACCATGAATCCTTTTCAACAGCACTAAAGAGCCTTGTGCCAGCAGAAGAGTACTGTGTTAGGAGTGTGCTAGTACAGGAGCCATAAGGGCAATTTTGCTTGCTTCCTCATCCTCACTGCTGCTGCTAGTGTTGTGGTGGGTCCCCCTTTTTGCCTTTTTGACCATCACTGGGAGAAGACAGGAAAAATCCGTCTCTACCATTTTCATGCTCCACTTCCTCCATGGAACTCAAGGCAGCCTATACCACTCTCCCTTCCCAATTTTATCCTCACAAAAATCCTCTGATACGGGCCAAGGTGATTGTGACTAGTCCAAGGTCACCCACAGTGCTCCATGGCCAAGTGGGGATCTGATTCTAGGTACTAGATCAAATCTGTAACCACTACACTACATGGGCTCTCAGATGCATATTCAGCCATTGTAACCTTAAAGACATGGACAGTGCAACCCTAAGAAGAGTTACACCTATCTCAGCTCAATGACCTCAGTGGGCTAAGTCTTTTAAGTAGGATTTGTTTTGTATAAGATAACCATTATTATTGGCATATCAGCATGCATGCTCAGAAAGTGGTAAGACATTTGCAACAGTATTTCAGTATTTTATCTATAACCCAAATAAGTGTGGATGAGGAGGCACAGAATTGCATAATGTACATTTTTTTAAAAGTACTGGAGATGGCTTGAGGCTAAGGCCACCAACTTGCAACTCAGCAAGTGGCCATGTACCTTTAAATTCAATTATACAACCGGAGATGAAACAATCACAACTTCTTCTGCCCTCTCCTGTCATATCCTATGGTTTTGTTCTCTGCTTCTCTTACCTGCAATAATGAAAGGATTTCATGTGCTACACGGGTTGTGAGGGAGAGAGAGAGAGAACAGAACAGGACTGAGGAAAGAAGAGTGAGCGAAGTCATGGCTGTCATATCCCCTGCAACATTAGGAAGTTTAAAGGTGTATTACTGATCTCTGGGCTATAACCTAACAATGCTACACCTGAATGATTTTAGATGTGGTACAATTTAGGGATACTACATAGAAAAAGTGAAATGATTTTATGTCTCTAATTTTAACAGTAGGGAATTGTACATGTGCAATGGGACTTAATTTCTTTATTTATCTATTTCATGTACTTGTCTCCCTTTCTCCATTTTATTCTTACAACAACCCTGTTGAGAGTATGTGACTGGCCCAAGGTCACCCAGCAAGCTTCCACAGCAGAGTAGTGATTCAAACCTGAACCTCCCAGATCCTAGTCTAACACTCTAACCACTACAGCACGCTAGTTCATGGATGGATTATGCTCTATAATCCCTAGATGTCATACTGGAAATGTGGGACTGAGGAATCTGGATTCACACTTCCTTAAAAATGCTGCAAAAGCTCTGTGAAGCTTCCTGCCTGCCATTAGTAGGCAGTAGCCATTTTCCAGATACCTAACAACAGGAAAGTGGGAAAGCAGCAGATAGAAGAGAGAAATGAATCCTTCTTTCAATCGTGCTTTTCATCCCTTCAAAACTGCTTCTATTTTATTTTGTCTAAAAACTTAGTCCCAGTTAAGTAGCTTTATTTAAATCAAAACAAGCATAATATAACTGAAAATTTGAAGATGTGTTATATCCTAACTGTTTGTAATGGTGTGTCTGTCCAAATTAGCATGCTACAACTATAGGTTCTAAAGGTTCTATAGTCAAAACATAAACAGAGCCAGTTTGGTGTAGTGGTTAAGTGTGCGGACTCTAATCGGGGAGAACCGGGTTTGATTCCCCACTCCTCCACTTGCACCTGGCTGCATGGCCTTGGGCAAGCCATAGCTCTGATAAGAGCTGTTCTTGAAAAAGAGCAGTTTCTGTCAAGAGCTCTCTGAGCCCCGCCTACTTCATAGGGTGTCTATTGTGGGGAGGGGAAGGGAAAGGAGTTTGTAAGTCGCTCTGAGACACCTTTGGGTAGTGAAGGGCGGGGTATAAATCCAATTTCTTCTTCTTCATAAATCCCAGACACGTTTGCTAATGAAAGAAGTCTTACAATTGAGTTATCTCTTAGGGTTAAACATTGTGCTCAGTGGCTAATATTGCAGAAATCTTTCATTTATGCAGTGATCTCAGAACTGTAAGTACATGAATTTTCTTTTAATATCTATGAAATCTCATTGCAACCAAATAAAAATGTTGGGTTACTTTATTTTGTTTTTGTTTTGCAAATCCTTGTTGAATTTTATACATGACATGCATCTACAACATTATCTTGATTCTTCTGTTTATCATTGCGTATGAATAAGTGGGCTCTCGCAAAGTTTTATGCCACAAACAATATACCAAAATATTCTTTGTTTTCGTTGCAGGCTAACATGTCTACCCTTCTGGAATTTACCACGGGTAGTACGCATCCCAGTTTAGTTTGGACGAAGTGTGTTTTTAATGTTTCAGAAAAGACTTGTATCTCATAAATATGGTTTGTATTTAAATCATTCCCTTATGAGTACGTATATTGTAAGTATGTTGACCCTGGAGGTCCCTTCCAACTCTACGATTCTATGAATATATTTACTCAGAAGAAACACAATCCACTTATTTACCATCAAAATACAGGTTAGGGAGAAAATGTAACATCATTGTACAGAAACACACATTTCGGAACTTTTATTCCTTCTTATTTCTTAATCTGTATTTCATTCTACTGATAAAGCATTATTATATGAAATAGCCTTAATGGTTATTATCCACATAAGTAAAAGTCTAGTTAATCTGCAAGATAATCCAAATGTTTTAATATATACCACTCTGCCATTTCAATCACTTTATGCTTTCATTCTATTTTATATGCTTCTATAAAAGTAAACTGCAGGTTCACAGAAACTACAGAACCTTAGCTCATTCAGAGGTTTTGCAGAAGCAGTTATAAGGTTATATTAAAGTTATATTCAAGGGTAGGATCAGGAATAAATACTATTTAACAACAAAAAAAATCACTGCATCTTTAAGAATATACAGCCATAATTGAAGTAGGATGCACTGTTGAAGAAAGTGACTTTTAACCAGAAAGCATCAGGTGTGCAAGAGTTCAGTTGCATACATACATTCTCTTCTCTTTCATTTCTACTACATTAGACACATGACTATCTGACCCTCAAAACTCATTTTAATTCTACTAGTTATCAGTGAAGCAGGGCAGAAGGGATACTGGAAGAGCAAAAATAGGAAGGAAAAACCTGGGTGCTGTCTATTCACAGACAATCTAGCTCGTATTCTAAATGTATGAACAACATGCATTAAAATGTTATCTTTGACATGAGCTTCTAACATTTAAATATAAATTATCTTACTTCTTTAACATGTAGGAAATCTTTAGCTTCAAATGAGATGGCCATGCCGGCAACTGGTACATCGTCATCATGGGCTGCACTGTAGCTAACATTTGTCCGGACTGCAAATGCAACGGGTTTTGTCTGTAGAGCAAACAAGATAAAGAGTGTTTTTGTTTTCCTTCATATACAAATATAACTAGGGAACTTACACAGACTTTACAGTGAACAGCTGGCTTCTAATTGTCACCATAGGATATCCGGGATAGGGGGAGAATCAAGTGAAAATTCACAATGGTACGAAGTCAGGAACAAAGACAGCAACAGTGAACTCAGGATTATGGATAACTCTTATAGCAAGATAAGATTTGAATTTTAACAGCCAATCCATATGCAAAAGAACCTCTTCAGGAAAGCTCCTCCATTAGCATGTCACAGCCTGGGAAACTCCTACAAGATAATGACTCAGCCCTACCCCACCTTTTTGAGTAGCTATAAATTACCTTTCTCACAATACAAGAACTCGTGGGCACTCCATGAAATTGCTGAGCAGTCGGGTTAGAACAGATGAAAGGAAGTACTTCTTCACCCAAAGAGTGATTAACATATGGAATTCACTGCCACAGGAGGTGGTGGCGACTACAAGCATGGACGGCTTCAAGAGGGAATTAGATAAGCATATGGAGCAGAGGTCCATCAGTGGCTATTAGCCACAAGGTATAGATAGGGACTCCGGGGCAAGTGATGCTCTATATTCCTGGTGCTTTGGGGGGTGGTGTCAACAATGGGAGGGCTTCTAGTGTCCTGGCCAGTGTTCCCTCTAAGCTGAGTTAATGTGAGCTAGCTCACAGTTTTTTAGCCTCTGGTTCACACATTTTTGTCTTAGCTCAGAAATGATGGCTCTAGATCAAACTAAAGTATGCAGTAGCCAAATTGCTCACTCACAACTTTAATACCAGTAGCTCACAAGGTAGAATTTTTGCTCACAAGACTTCACAGCTTAGAGGGAGCATTGGTCCTGGCCCCACTGCTAGACCTCCTGATGGCACCTGGTATTTTTGGCCACTGTGTGACAGAGTGTTGTACTGGATGGGCCATTGGCCTGATCCAACATTGGCTTCTCTTATGTACCTGCCTACCATTATTCTTCTTACACTGACACAGAGAGTACTCCATCTTTCTGTGTTATACCTTTGAGGATGCCAGTCACAGCTGCTGGCGAAATGTCAGGTACTACAATGCCAAAGCCACGGCCACACAACCCAGAAAATCTACAACTAATGAACTCTGGCCATGAAAGCCTTTGACAACATAAAGTTACGCACTTTTAAGCCCAGTGAAGACAATGGTGTTAGAAAATTATAATTCTGTGTAGGACTGTTCTGTTCATTTGGAGGGGGTGGAAATTGCCAGTGATGTGAGGCATAATAATCTGAAGCCATTAGTTATCATGATACCAAGTCAACATGCTTTTGTTCAGGACTGGAATGGGATGTGGCACAGAGGCACAGCATACTGCATATAGAAGATTCCTGGTTCAGTCAGGTTGCATATGTTGGGAAAGGCCTTCCTATGCTTGAGACTGGAATGCTGCTGCCCATCAGAGTAGATTCTATTGATCAATGGTCGACTTCTGGTCTATGGAACAGTGATGGCGGACGCTCTCCCCACAATGGGGAAGAGTGAATCACACACCAGCAGCCTGGAGGGGTGCCACCTCAAGTGACACCTCCGCGGAGCCTTTACAATAGGCTCCAGGCCAGGGGGCTTTTGAAGGGTAGCCTCTTCGATGGCACAATGCCAGAGAATTGAGGCTCCCCTC